TGAGGAGCATCCTTTGAAATCGACGAATCACACGACGCCTTGCTGGTATGTTAGCCTGATTGACAGGGCACACTCAGCAAGGGGTGAGGGGGAAGGGAGAAGGGATAGGTACACATGGGAAGGGCCCCGGAAGTTTAAAACCGGACATTGCAACACACCACAACAGAAGAGAAGTCATAACTCTTGATACATTCTAAAAGTATGTAACCAGTTGAAGCAAAACCCTACTGCAGGACACTGCCTTAAAGTTAAGATGCTTTCAAAGGGCAGTAACAGTCTCATGGAAGATAAATTCCCAGAGGGCTGTGAAATATAAGAACATCCAGATTCAAGATGTCTTTAGGTGACAGGTAGGAGACTAGGAAACAATTTTGAGTAATTATCACTAAATGCTGGATCTTCTGTTGTCCACACTTGTACCTAGCATGCAAGGCTAAATGCTACTTTGGTCTGTTCTATGATGCATACTCTTTAAATACTTCATTTTAACTTGGCCTCATGTCACAGGAGTCTAGCCAGAATCAATATTTATCCTGTAATGCATAAATAAAATAACTAATCTAAAATATTGCTTAAGCTTCAATATGTGCTCTATTATGCAATGTTTGATTAAAGTACACAGTTAAGCTCATTCTCAGGTTACAGCTCGTGAAAAGATCAGTTTTCCGTTTCATTTCACTGTTCTGTTTGCTTAGCTGACAGTTATAATTAAAAATAGAGAGGTTTAGCCTGCTCTAGGTGGATGTAGTTATAGGGTCTGTGAGTACTGTTTCATATCATTTTATGAAGAATGGATTATGTCAATTCTGTCAATCATTCCAAATCCTTTCAGGCTAAGAATTTAACTTGTTGCCAGAGGCTATATTTTTATGAGACTTTGAGTGAAAATGATCTTGCCACATTCAAGTATGTGAAGAAATGGTTGGGAAAATAGTTTCTTCCCTCCTTTTTATGGCCATTAAGATGAGTACTTAATTACTGAAGTAATGACTGAAGCCTTGACTTAGTCAGAGCTTTAATAATCATGGTATAATCCATATGAGTTTAATCCAGTTTTATTTTTTTCTGCATCCTCAAAAGAGTAAGATAACAAAAAAATTTTAAGCCTTACCCTAGTTAAAGCTTTACTGAGCATAGTATAAAGCTCATGAGTTTTATCCAGTTTTATTTTGTTCTCCTCGCTTTAAAGAGTAAAATAACATTAACATTTTCCTCTATAGTAAATGTTATCATTATTTGCTATCTAAATTACAAAAATTTAGCAGAATGGAAACAACAGCTACAACCAGCCTGCTGTTGCCTTACTGTCATAGGCAGCTAAGCTGAAGTTCATCATGGGGCTAAGGAGCAGAAATTTGACCTTGTTATTTGTCATTCAACACAGGGCCCTGCATAAAAGCAGACCACTACAGGATATGGGACAATTAAGGAGCAGAAGAGCTGAGCCCTGGCTCCTGATAATGTTGGGTAGAGTTGTAATCCCATCAGAAGGAACATTTCCAGTCACATACCTGGTTCTTGGCAACAAAAGGGAGACCTTTGTCCAACAGCTTAGCTGCTGAAATAGCCAGGTAGCAGCAACAGGGGACTCGGCCTTTTTTAATGACAGATATTTGAGCCAATTCCATAGAGGAGATTTTAACCATCTTTGCCCCCAGTGTATCACAGAAAAACAACATGCCTGCAGTTGAAGAAGGCTCAGGAGATCATTTATTCCAACTTCATTGCCAAAGCAGTTACCTTTGGTGACCTCGGCACGAGGCTGAGCAGCACTGTGCCCAGCTGGCTTTGGAATCTGACCAAGGACAGAGATTTCCTAGTTCAGATCTTCACCATTTGATAAATATAGTGCATACTTGATATATATTGTAAACTCAACATTGATGTTTATATTATCTTACTGTCGCGTACCACAGCAAAATTACTCCATGTTTATAGGCAATACAGAATGAAAACACATTTTGGAATATACACACACTGAATGTATACCTATTTCATTTATGAGAACCTAGTCTGGAATGTAGAAAAAAATTGGAATTAAGGGGGAAATATGGAGTGTGAGGGGAAAATTGTCGGGAATGACACACTGAATGTATACCTATTTCATTTATGAGAACCTAGTCTGGAATGTAGAAAAAAATTGGAATTAAGCTAGTAACGTGGTTTTGGTGAATTTGCATGTAAAGATAGAGAGGAAATACCATTAGTACATAGCTCCAGAGTTCTGGAGACTTTTGGAGTACTTTCTGATCAAAAGTTTTTACATAAGAAAAGTACTGCTGTACTGCTGACACCTAAAAGGAAAAATCAGAGTACAGATGACACATCATGGATCTTGTACTCTAAGAGGGCAGATCTACCTGCTGTCCTTCATACTGAAGACTGGGAGCTTCGAGAAGGATTCAGGCACTTTGATTTTAAAAAGTTGAGATGGAACAGGACTGAGAATACTGCCTGGTCCCAAAGTTAAAATTCTAATGAACTTATTTTTTATGGGAATTTAATAATTTTATGAGACACTACTGATAAAATTAGGCTTAGATTCTTTTCACTTATTACATTTACTGGAAACCAGACTAGTTGAAATATTTTGTTTGAGCTCATTATTGCTCTGAAACTGACATTGAGAAAAAACAAAACAAAAGGACAAAGTACATATGAAAAACATAACTGTTTCAACATTAAGGAAATAAATTATTTTATCTTCTCTGCTTTCCTAATTTTTATTAATTTTTGCCCTGAGGCCACAGGTTTATTCCAGAGGAAATGGTAATCCAATACATGACCTTCTCCTGACAAAAGTTCTTTATCTACATATGAAGAAGGCCATGATAACAAGACTACTACCAGTCTTCTCAAAATTAATCTAATCATCCAAAACCTTCAATTTCAGTAATATCATCACAGTTACATCACAGTTCAAAGGGACATTTTGCTGGCATGTGTGGACAGTTTTATCTGTGGTAACTTCTCTTTGCAGAAGGAAGAATATTTTCATTCTCTGTGGCTACTCCTGCCATTTTTTCCAAAAAACAGGATTTACTATTTTCAACAATGATTTGAGCACCTTTCCCTGTTAGTAAAATCAGAAGAATTTTTTTTTTTTAATCCCAGAATCTGGTTATGAAAAGAAATAGGTGATATACTGCAAGTTACTGACACTGAAGATATTTTTTCTTGGTCCTTGGGCAAGCCTGATGCCAGAAATATGCTTAACAGAGTTATGGCAAATTCAGTTAGATTTTCCAAAACATTTTCCAGTAGTTTGAATCTTCTTATTTGATATCCCTGCTCTTATAACTGTGCAAACAGATGCTCAAACATATTAACCAGACTTTGGCTCAGAAGAGTGGAACTCTCAGTATTTGTTTGCTACAGTGGAAATGACAAAGTGCCAAAACAGTTCTCACAAACTTTCTCACCTGTCTTTCAGCAACTTTCAAAGCTTATCCCATTTTACCCCAACCTCTTCAGGAAAAAACTAAGGCTTTCCTCCAACAGAGAAAGCACAGAAGAAAACGCACAGAAGAAAATGGACATCCAGGGAAACTTTGGTCTCCTCTTTCTTCCATTAATTAAATGAATGGCTGCCTTGCTTTTTTCTAATTTTCTGGTATAATCTAAATTGGAAGTGGAAAAAGGGGTTTTCTGCAAGTTTCCATTATTTTCACTGACCCTGATTTAATCCTAATCTATGTCTATGTATTCACTCCAGTTCCAAATTTTCCTTTTCTTTTTTTTTCCACTTGCATTTGATTTCCTCATATGTCCTTCCCAATGTATTTGTTTCACTTTGTTCACTGTTTTCAAGATTTTATTTCCTTTCATGAAATGGAATTCTTTGTTTTAGGAAAGGAAATGAAATTTCGCAATTTTATTGAGTATCATTTCTTGAAGTTTTGCGTAATTTCACTGCACTTCATTTCATTCCATTCCCTTTCAAGAATTTAACTTGTCCTAAGAATTTTCTTTTCAATTTCATTTCCTTGTATTTCCTTTCATGTCTTTTCATTTCACTCCATTCCTTGATTTTCATTGCATTTCTTTTTATGGAAAATTCTTCATTTCCATGAAAGGAAACGAAATCCTGAGATTTCAATGACTATCATTTCATGAAGTTATGGCTAATTTCACTGCACCTAATTTAATTCCATTCAATTTCTGGTTTGGTTTTTTTTTTTTTTTTTGCTTTATTTCTTAATTTTCCAATTTCATTTAATATCAGTATGTTTTATATTTTAAGTCCACAATGCTAAATTCAATAGTGTGTGGGCCCACATTTATGAGTAGATAAGCTGTTATAACTCCATCATTCATGAAAATTTTCTCTCTGACTGCATTTAGCATTGCCCTGGCTTCAGTTTGGTCCCAAACCTTCCACTGCCATAGGCAGACTCATTCTTCCTTGTTCCCTAGCAGTCTATTTATTGTATGAAGACTCTCTGTTACCTACCCATCTTCTGCAGAAAGCATTTCCACAATCAATCTACTTCCATCACTGCTCAAAATACAGATTTCTTTTGAAGTCCAAAAGGAACGATTAAGTATCTGGTCTGATCACTTGTACAAAATGTGAAATTTTAGCCATTTTCCTTTGTTAAGACAGCTCACTTTGAACTGAATTGCCAGCAGTGGTTGCCTTTCCCTTGTTTTATTTCTCCAATATGCAGTTTTCAAGACCTCTTTCTGGACTTCACTGCATTGGACTTGACTTACTCTCCTCCCTTATTCAGCTGTTCAGTACCAGTGCTTGAGAGGCAGCAATTGCTGATTCCTTGAGGATGGATGTTGTAATTAAAATGCAAGTAACTCCATCTACTTCCCATTTTTTAAGTATAGCAACTATTGTTCGCAAGTAGCCAAATTATTCACATTCCCTTCTAAGTGTTTCAGAAAAACTAAGTGCAAGCTGTATTTAAAACAAAACCATGCCATTTCAATGGAAAAAAAGCAATTACAACTGGAAATAAAATCCTTTATTGAAAGAAACATGCTGAAGACACTTCCATATTTCTTATTTGAACCTACATTTGGTAGATAAACTTATTCACCCCTAACCACTAATTAATAATAAAATATCAGTGAGTATATCACACAAGCCACGCGGAAATAAGTGTCTCAAGAACAGAGGTGACATCTGTTGTGGGTGAGGTTTCCCATACGAATTTCTTCCCATTGTCAGCAGAAAAGCTGTGAAGGGGGAAGGAGTAGTTTTCCTGAAAAGACACAAAGGAAGGGGCCTATTGTATTTGTGGGGTGCCCCGATGAAGGAAGGAATGATGAATGTGACTCCATGTTCTCAGAAGGCAAATTTATTATTTTATTATACTATATATTAAAGAATACTATACTAAACTACACTAAAGAATACAGAAAGGATACTTACAGAAGGCTAAAAATATAATAATGAAAACTCGTGACCCTCTCCAGAGTCCCGACACAGCTTGGCACTGATTGGCCATTGAGTCAAAACAACTCACAACAGAAACCAATGAAACAATCACCTGTGGTAAACAATCTCCAAACACATTCCAAAGGAGCAAAACACAGGAGAAGTAAATCAGGTAATTATTGTTTTCCTTTTTCTCTGAGGCTTCTCAGCTTCCCAGGAGAAAAATCCTGGGCAAAAGGATTTTTCAGAAAATATTAATGCCACGGGTGGCCAATAGCTCTGACATCCCAATAAAGTAATTTTGGGGTTTGGGAGTCTTGCGTCAAGGGGAATGGACTCTCCCGCTGGGGTTTTTTTTCGGGAATTGCAGCACAATGCCATAAGAGGGGTTGGGGCTACCTTGACAGGGAGTGGGGGCCGGCTTCCCGCCTTTTTCCGTTCGGTGATGGAAGGGAGCGCTTGCGTGTGTTGCGGCGAGCAAGTGCCTGCTCCCAGCGCATCGCTGCGCTCCAGCTGCCTGCCCGGCTCTGCCCGCTGCTGCCGAGGGGCTGCCTCTGCTCCCGGGTTACGGCCGTGTCGTGGCTTGCTGCCAGTGGTGGTACCAACACTGGCTGCTACCTGTGAGTTTTACAAAAAGCAAAAATTTCCTGTCCTCGCCTTTGGCCGAGCCCGCACTGCCACAGGGAAACTGCTGAGCAGGTGGGGACTTTCTGATATTGTTTTGGTGGTGGTGGTTCTGTCCTGTTGCATATATATACGTTTTTTTTTTTTTCCCTGTAAAGAACTGTTATTATTTCTCTCATATTTTTGCCTGGAAATTGCATAGGTTTCAAGTTATAATAATTTGGAGGGAAGGGTCACTTACCAGGAAGGTTCCCGCCTTCCTTGCAGACATCTGTCTTTTAAACTAAGACATCATCTCAGTATCTTGCATTCACAGTCCACAGCAGTGTTACTTGACCTGTCCATCACTGTCCCAGATCCCCCTGCCCAAGAAACTGATACAAAGGACAGATAAACAGGTCCAGCAGCCAGAGATAAACCTTCCTGACATGGCCCTGGCACATGACAGAGAGGTCAGTCCAAGTCTGTTTTGGGCACATTAACTTTTTATTGCTTGTTTTTTAATTGGCGCTACCTTAATTATGTATTAAAGAAAATATATTATCCAAACTCACATACACAGTTTCAATGCACTTACTTATTAGCATTCACTTAGTAGTAGATTAAAAATTTGTTAAAATTTCATTTCTTATTCCACTCTTTTCCATTCAATTGCATTTCAAATACTTGCTGATCACCTCATAGTACTTTCATTTGAGGCTGCAAAAAATTATTCCAGGATAAAATTACACCAGATTTAGCATATTCTGCTAATAACTTACCACCATTTCTGACTTTTAAACAAAAGCTTAAAGAGCTTTAAAAATTTCTGGCTGCTTATCACAACAGGGGACAAAACTCCCTGGAAGGATAACATCAAATTCTCTGGGGACAGATTAACAGGGGCAGTTATTACCTTGTCTATACATCAATAAACTTCTGGTTGGCTGTTTTTTGTGTAAACCTGTGCAAGCTGTGATATAAAGGGGTACCTGGGTTATTTGTTTCTCAGCAATTAAGTAAAACTTACATATTTATTTAAGATAACACTAATAAATTGTGGATAGTTTCATGAGTTGCAACAAATTAATGTGATTTTGACCCCTTTATCAGGAGTGCTGGCAATTACACAACTCCTATCCTTGTACTGTTTGCAGGTGGCCATGCAAGCAGCTGTCAGCAAATGCTGTGCAAGACATCTATCTCTCTTAATGAAGCAGGGTGCACTATACAGGGAGCAGCTGACTAGCTGAATAAGCAGGAAAACCAAAAATTTATTGCCTCAGATATGATCCTCCACTAATGATTTTGGCTACAGTCATGTCTCTGCACAGCACCATGCCATCAGGTGGATGCAGTAGCTTAGGTTAGAACTAGTTGGTTGCTAGACAGCACAGCTGTCCAACAGCCATAAATTCTGGAAGCTTTAGTTTTCCTCCAAGTAGGCTAGAGGAAGAAAACACCTACATTTTACCAGCAGCTTGTTGAAATGAACACATTATTATAAAATGTTTCCACTGGAAAATTTGCTGGTTTTCAAATTAAATTTGTTTCAAAAACGATATCTGATTGCTTCTGACAGTTACCCAGCTCCTCTGTCAATGCACTGGGCAGATACCTTCTTCTTCAAGCCCCTCTCCTTCCCATGTCTGTCTGCATCTTGTACTGTTTCTCCCCTATCATTTAGTCCTGGGTATTCTCTATCCTTAAAGCTCATTTTCTCACTCCCAGCTAGTTCCTGATGCACAGACATACTATTTACAATGTCTCGTCTCTTTTTGGTTGTCTCCTTTAAAGATGCCACCACCTTAAAATGCACCCAGTGTTCAGCATGCAAGCAACATCCCTAGCACATCTAATCATCCTTCCATAATTGCTATTAACTGCCAAGATGGCCCCTTCCTCTGTAAGGAACCTATATTTACAGGTCTTTGCAGCCATGCTCACATCTGATCCCTACCTGGGCTCAATTATGAACACTCCAAAATCTCTGCAGGTGCCTTTTCTGGAAGCACTTCCATCTATTCCTGAGCAGTGCCTACCCTTAGCTTTCCATAGTAGGCTGTGGGATCTCAGGATTTGAGTCCTGGCATGCCGAGCCCCCGAGACCACCCTTGGGGGGCCTGGGAGTCCTGGAATGTTGCCAGAAGTGTCTGGTGGCAGGACTTTGACCCTACACGGGAGACGACACCTTTATGAAGATAAGAGGACCTCACCGGGGTGAAGGGCAAAAAGATTAGCTAATTAGAGGGTAAGAAACAGGGTTTAGGATTTATGTACAGGGGGGTTTAGAGGAGTAAGATGGAGGAATTGGGGTGTGTCCTGCCCTCCTTCTTCTTCCTCCTCTCCTCCATCTTCTTTGGCCACGGTGGCACCTTTGGATTGGTTATTACTAAGAGTACACCGAGCTATAAGAATAGATGGTATTGGGGAAAAATGATAAATATTGTATACGTAACTAGGGGTATAAAGATACGTGGCGGTCCGTGGGACGGCACAGTGTGCCCATGGCTGACTGCTGAGCGGATCTTTGTTAGGCTGAAAGAACATCTTTTAGATAAACAATTAATAAACATAAAACCAGAAAGAAGAACTGAAGCCTCTTCTCGTCCTTCGACACGCGGGCTGCCCCAAGGCCACCCCCGGGCCTTCCAGGCCCCTCAAACAGCCGAGATAAACCGGACAGTAGGCAACTTACCAAAGTTTTTTTCTCTCCCCTTTGTCCGGCCAAGCTGCCCTCCTGATTTCCTTCCTGGCTTTGTTCCTGATTTCCACCAGTCACCACGACCATATCTACCCTCTCCTGCACTCCAGAAAAGCCCTTGACATAGTGCAACTGCTCCCCTGCAGCTCACTGGAAGTCTCCTACCTCAGAGCAGTAACATAAGCAGCTGCTGCCAGCTCCAAAGAGTAGAAGGTGATAAGCAATTTCAGAGTGTGGAGAAGTGCTGGATCAATTTGGGGAGAGTGTTTTGATCCAGAGCAGAAAATTTTTCATTCCCTTCATTTGAGCTGTTTTCCTCTTCCAGCCACACAATGGTGAGAGATCATTTGCAGAGTCTGGTGAGTCCTTCAGACTGACTTATGTGTAAGGCTGTGAGATGGCAGCAGCTGTGTGGAGAGCTATAGATATGCCAAAAATAACTGGCAAACTCACCAGCTGCACGTACTTGAGACAATGAGTAGGCTTCAGCTTCCCCCCAAGCCCACAGTCTAGAGACAGGGACTGGAGCAGGGCTGGAGTGCTGGCTCCCATGTCCCAGAAAAGGAGGAGAATACCACATTGTTCTGAAAGGTGTCAGAGGTAGCTTTGTCAGAAAGTGCTTGGTCACCATTACTTATCATAGGGATTCACTTGCTCCACCAAAATGCACCTAATTTTTTTAGGCGAAGCTTCTCAGCTCCAGAATTAAAATTTTGTTGCAGAGAGACAGAAACAGACTAGTCCACCCAAACAGAATATTAACTAGGACATCCAAGGTATATAGGAGAATATGGAATATACTTAGAGAAAATATAGAATAAGGATTTATGGGAGAACAGAAAGAAAGTAATTAAACATGCCTTTCCTATAACTTGGGTGAGGGGAAGCACTACATAGCAATGTATTAATTTTTTTGGAAAGCTCTCAAGGCTTTCTTTCCTCTCAAGGCAGAGGGGGAAAATTCAAACCTGAAGGATACATCAGCTAAAAATAAACACAGTGGGAAAAGCTACTAAGGTGTAGGTGGGGTTATAATGTTTTTATGTTTGTAAAACACTGTAATCAAATAATTTTTATAGATAGCATTTGCAGACAATTCACTGAAAAGCTGCTATAAGTGGCACCCATATAGACTGCTTTTCTTTAATTTCCTTTCACACATTAGGATCCTTTTCTTCTTGGCATGTCACCCTAAAATCTTCTGGAATTTGATCCTTAAACCAGACCTGAAACAATGGGAGGTTATCTGATGTCTTTGCGCCATCTACAGATCTTATCAGTCAACTTGCATCTTTTTTTTTTTCAATTACACAGAGCACAGGATAGCATAGAAAGATCAATTATAATAGTATTGTCTTGTTCCTGAGAAGTAATAGTGGCTCAGAATCCCAACTCACTATTTTCCTTTTCCTTTTTTTTCTTCCTAATGTTATCACAGTCAGACTGACCTCCAACATCTTATTCAGAATTTCTCTAAATGATTTCCAACCCTTTAACAAGTCACCTCCTTTTGGTTTTAAAATGTTCCAATACTTAACTACCTCAGCTTCAAAAAAATGTCTCTTGTTTATGATGACTTTTATCCTCAAATGTAGTTTTTTCCTCTGAGATGGAGAGGGGTCTTTTAAGAAACCAGCACAATGGCAAGATAACATTCTTTGTCTTTTCACAAAGAGAGCCTAAAGAGTAGTTTGTGAATTCCCAGGCTACTTCCTGGATGTGAAACTATATATAATTAAACACCTTCTTCAGAGATGAAGGGCTAGGGTCTAAAAATGTCACCTCCACCAGCTGGATACCAAACTCTTTGTGAGGGAAAGGTCTGAAGGCTGGAGATGTTCAGCTGAAAGCTTCTTTGGAGAGCAATCAATGAGCAGTAAAAGGAAGCTTGAGGGTACTCAAAACATTACTTTTCCATATTTGACAATTTAATAACTATCTATGATACTGGATATTAGGTTAAGGTGACATGGTCACAACAGTAACTCATTTAACTTTTAAAATTACACCCCATTCATACTTTCATTAAGATAAGGAAATGCTTTCCCAGTCTGAATTACACACTTGATACTTCAGGGGAAAAAAATAAAAATAAAAAAAAGGAAAGCTATTACTGAGCTTTCATGTAAGAAAAATCAGCCATTAGCACAGCCATAGGGGAGAGAGCAAAAGTGCAGCTAGAGAAATAAATTTCTGACAGTAACTAATACTGGACGGTAAGGGAAATAACTTATGTAATGGCACAGTCAGAGGTATTCCTTTCTCCCATTTATACACCCATTCTTTAACAATCAGCAACTGTGACGTCTTGAGCTGATGGATGTACTCCAACTACATTTAACAGTCATCAGTGGACCAATCCTTCATGGTTTTTCCAGATCTTCTTCTGTCTAGCTATGCGAACTTTAGCTTCCACAGAATCCGGTAGCAATAAGTTTTGCAACTGAGTTCAGTGTTGTGCAAAAAGGATTTTTCTTGTACTGTTTCTCCCCTATCATAAGTGCCAAAATATTTTCCTCTAATCACAATATATCACCCTATAAAGACTTTTAGGCAAAAAAACTAACTAGAAACTCTATTTCCTAGTATAAAACCTGCATATATGTAGGTATATATGTATTTTAGAAACCTCCTTTAAAGAGAATACCTTTTTTCTTGATAAATTACACTTATGTATTTGCAAGTCTAAAGAATTGCAGGAGGAAAGCCACTTTCTCCCTGAGTTCACCATGCACTGCTCAGAACCAATAGTCATTCATACATCTAAGTTGAAGTAAGCAACTTAGTAAATTCACATTTTCATCCCTTGTATGAATTCACAAAGTAAATTTTGGGAATTTACTTTGTGAATTCATACAAGGAATGAAAAACCTATATAAAAACTGTGTGTGTGCTAATGCTGACACTCTTGAAGTGTACTATGCACAATCTACTTAATGCATTTTATACACCAACTCATACACACACACAAGTATATAGATAAAATGCAGTTAGATTTCTCTTTTTAATTTGGCAATTCTGAAACTAATCTATATGGAATATCATTCAAAGTCCACTACTGCAAAAAAAGCACCATCAATTTAAGGTAAACAGGGAAACAGCTGTTTTCCTTAAAAGTTGTCTTTAATAATGTCAAAGGCTTTCTTGATGCTGTTTTATATCATTTGGGATGACATTATTTTATATGTTGGTCTCTTACACTTGAACACAACACATAAAGGGTTTTTTTGCAACATTAATTAATGGGGCCTTTACTGGCACCTAGAAGGGACTGGACAGATTTCTGATCTAAAATTTGCACACTTCAGAAAATTATGTCACAACACACAAATGGCTGAAAATATTTCATGGAGCATATTTTATGAGACTATGGTATATCTTGCAAAGCAATTTCATTGACTCTTGTAGTTTTTTAATAGAGGGTGATATGTATGAAAGTGGTGCATCACATCAAACTCAAAACAGAATATTTGGGATTGACTCCTTTCTGGAACATTGTCCTGATTTCTTCCTTTAATACTGTTTAGACTTACTGATAGTTCATTAACCTAATATAGTATGTGAAATACTTTACATTTTAAGAAGCAGCTGAACACTACCTTTAGACTATTTCCCATCTTTATTTGGATAATATATATAATAGTATAGCTGCAAATAGTGTTTAGTTTAGTTTATATACAGCATATATGGGTTTTCACTCCGACAGAATTTAGCTTGCCCTGTCAAATAATAAATGTTTGGCAATCCCAGCTTTTTCTCCGCTTAGCTCTCCCCAGACGTGGTGCAGTCTGGTGCCGGGCCATTAGATGTCACTGTGGACCGTGCAAAAGAAGACCAAAGTAGGAACTAGCATCTTCCCCTCTGCAAACAGTAACCCCAGTTTCAAAACAGGTCTGCATCTTCAGTGACTGCAGCATACCCGTGTGCCCTTTCCCTTATGCGCACCTTGGCCTCCACCACCACGTTCCTCTGCAGCTGCTGCTCTGACACAGCAGCTCACAGTGCAAAGCAGGTCAGGCTCCATACAGCAAAAACCTTCTCCTGTCCTTCTTTCATTTCACAAAGGAACAATTTCCAGGGTCCGTAGCACCACGAAGAACACAGCTGTGGGATGCCTCTCAGAGGGCCAAAAGGCCAAGCTGAGCATAGTTTGAGTTTAGAGCAAATAAGTCACCAAATGAGATGGTGGATTAGATCTGAAGCCAACTGACTAACATTCTGTTGTTACACTGCATTTTTATGGCCTCCTACTTCCTTCAGTTTTTTTCATTGTTTGGTTGGTTTGCAGTTTTTTCCTGAGTTGCTCCCAGTGAAGCATTGCATCAGTTTGTTGCAACTACCCCAGGGGAAGCGGGGAGTGACCTTGATCTCTGGGGAAGCAGTAGCAGTGGCAAGGTGAGGTGTTCCCACAGCTGTGGGATTGGAGGTGGATTCTGCTGATGCTGAAATCCCGGGAGGGAAAAAACCCACTTATTGACTTCTCGTGGCAGCAGGATCACAGTCCAAC